TATACAAATTGTCACATGGCTGCAATGCTGTGTGTACTGATTGACTGTACACGATCAAAAGCATTGTTTCCATCCGACTAAACCAGCACAGCTGTGGCGCACCCATAGAGGCTCCTATTGCCAACTTCATCGCAAAGTGTGGCTGTGTTCCTTTGACTAGAGCCGCATTGAACAGCAACAAAGTGCGTCACGAAGTTGTAATGAATAGGGATGGAACAGTGAACACGGATTTGGATCCTATGGCCGACTATCTGCTACAGATTGAAGCGTCCAACAAGATGCACTGCGCTTCGCGGAACATATTTGGCTTTGATGGAGATCGGTTGCTCTTGAAGCTTACAAGACGCAAAGCAGAACTCTACACATAGATCACCAAGCCCAACACGGTCAAACGACAAGCAGCCATTGCAAAGAATCTTGGAACTGCTGGTCAGTTGTATCATTAGACACATGGTCAACACCTTACGTCTGATGATTTCTTTCGAGGCAATGCCATCCGAGAGCGCACTGAGCAGGTTGACAAACTAGAGAAGAAAAAGAAGATTGAACTTGCGAAATTGGCAATCAAAGAGCAACGCGATTCTATTATCCAAGAGAAGGGTGAACCTACAGCGGCGACGGTCAATGCATTCAACGCAAAGGAAATGGGGATCCTCTATAAATACAAAAAAGGAAGCAAGTGCACCCAAAGGAAAGAAAGCAGAGGTCCTCTTGGGTTATCTAGCAGCACCAGCTCCACGAAAACTCGACGGATGGTCTGAGGAGGAGGAAGCCGAGCTCCAATGATTGAAGACAGAGGAAATCCCGTTGGAAGACACCCAAGTTGCCATCGCCGCAGATCAATCGGCGAACGCGGTGATCAACCATGCTGCTCTGCTCTCTGTTGACAAACGAGTGCTGCTGATCAACAATCTCCGAAACTCTTTTGACGCTGACAAGGTGTCTCAACAGCGAGAGATGTAATACTGACGTATGGTCTACCATACTTTGTAGCCGCCAAGTAGTCGCCCAAGAGTGGAAGCATTATTTTTGGTATCACACCGGTTTTGAATAACTCGTTTTGGGTCGCTCAAAAAGGCTTGATTGGGTTTCAAGCGATCGACCCATTTTCCGACGTAGAATTCTGCATCTAAGAAGCGCAATTGTAGGTAATTCTGAAAACGAGACCTCAGGTCTCGTTTGGGAAGCACATCCCAACCTCTCCTTCCGAACCAAGTCCAAGGTTCCAATTAGGCAACCGGTGCTCCAGGTTGGGAAGTGACGTACGTCTAAGAAGCCTCGAATGACCAAACACACGAATCAAGTAGAAGGGTGGTCGTCAATTCTAAATAAATACGCAGATTTTGAGTGCACCGTGAAAATCATGACCTAATGCTTCTAATTAT